ACACACACCCCCTCACACACCCCCTCACACACCCCCTCACACACCCTCACACACCACCACCTCACACACCCCCTCACACACCCCCACACACCCCCTCACACACCCCTCACACACCCCCACACACACCCCACACACACCCCTCACACACCCCTCACACACCCCTCACACACCCCTCACACACCCCCTCACACACCCTAACACACCCTCACACACACCTCACACACCCCCTCACACACACCCTCACACACACCCTCACACACACCCTCACACACCCCCTCACACACCCCTCACACACCCCCTCACACACCCCCACACACCCCTCACACACACCCTCACACACCCCCTCACACACCCCCTCACACACCCCCTCACACACCCCTCACACACCCCCTCACACACCCCTCACACACCCCTCACACCCCAACACACCCTCACACACCCCCTCACACCCCCAACACACACCCTCACACACACCTCACCACACACCCCCTCACACACCCCACAACACACCCCACACCACCCCCTCACACACCCCCACACACCCCCTCACACCCTACACACCCCTCACACACCCTCCACACCCCCCCACACACCCACACCCACAACACCCACCCTCACACCACCCCCTCACACACCCCCACACACCCCTCACACACCCCACACACACCCTCACACACACCCTCACACACCCTCACACACACCCACACACACCCTCACACACACCCCCACACACACCCACACACACCCACACACACACCCTCACACACCCCACACACACCCCCACACACCCCTCACACCACCCCCACACACACCCACACCCCCCCACACACACCCCACCCCCCCACACACCCCACATACACACCCCACATACACCCCCCCACACACACCCCACATACACACCACACACCCCCCACACACACCCCACACCCCCCACACACACCCCCACACCCCCACACACACCCCCAAACCCCCCACACACACCCCCAAATACACACCCCACATCCCCCCACACACACCCCACACCCCCCACACACCCCCACATACACACCCCACACCCCCCACACACCCCCACATACACACCACACACCCCCCCACACACACCCCACACCCCCCACACACACCCCCCACCCCCCACACACCCCACACACACCCCACACCCCCCCACACATACTCCCACACCCCCACACACCCCCACGTACACACCCCACACCCCACACACCCCCACACACACCCCCACACCCCCCCACACCCCCCGCACACCCCCCACACCCCACACACACCCCACCCCCCACACACCCCCACGTACACACCCCACACCGACCCCACACCCCCCACACCCCCACACCACACACCCCCACACCCCACACACACCCCCACACCCCCCACACACCCCCACATACACACCCACACCCCCCACACACACCCCCACATACACACCACACACCCCCCCACACACCCCCACACCCCCCACACCCCCCCACATACACACCACACCCCCCACACACACACCCACACCCCCCACACACACCCCCACACACCCCCACACCCACACCCACACCCACACCCCCCCACACACACACCACACCCCCCACACACCCCCCCACACACCCCCACACCACACCCACAGCTCCCCCCACACACAGCCCCCCCAGAGCACCCCCACACAACCTCCCCCCCCCCACACGCAGATCCC